TCCACTCCACTCCACTCCACTCCATTCCATTCCATTCTATTCTATTCTTCTTCTCTACTCTACTCTCTATCCTATTCTTTATCCGCCTATCCTATCCCTATTCCCATCCCTATCCTTGAGCCTTCCCAGCCCTTCTCTTTCCAATTTCTTCCCTCCAAGCTTCCCCCTTCATCCCCCTGCATCTTTCCTCCGTGTTTCCCACTACATCTTTCTGTTTTCATCTGCTGCAAAACTCAAGCAGGATGAGAAGCCCCAGGCCAGGAGCCATTTCATTTTTTCAGCTTTTTATTTTTTTATTATTATTATTATTTTTTGCAGCCCGGTCCTTCCCTCTTCCCTTCCTTCTGCTCCAGAAGTCCTCAACTTCAGGCAGAAACACGGCAAAGCACACACACACACACCCTGTTTTTTGTGTGTTTTGTTTTGCAGCCACTGCCGAACACCCGCTAAAGAAACTTCTCTGGTCTCTTGTTACTGTCCCTCCCCTCCCTTGGAGAGAGGGGTCCCCATTGGCCAAACCGGAGCCAGGGGCCACCCCTCCCCCCCCCCTCCGCTCCTTGCCAATCGAGTCCTGCATGTCCCTGTTTCCTAAACTCAGCCTCCCTTTCGGTCTGTGTGTGCTTTAAAAAAAACAGAGTTTTGGGAAGCCTGGCGCATCCAAGAGCTCAGCCTGCATCCATCATGGAGCAAGCAAACTTATTGCTGAGTTTCCTCCTCCTTCTTGGGGAACAGCTGAGACCCAGCCCGGCTTGCCAGCTGCCCACCGACTGGAGGCCACTCAGCGAAGGCTGCCGGGCAGAGCTGGCAGCCACCATTGTCTACGCCAAAGTCTTAGCTCTGCACCAGGACATGTACTACAGCATGTACAACTATTTGCCCTGGCACTACGACGGCGCCGTGGACGGAGGGCTCTTTTACTCCGCCGAGATTGAGATGCTGTGCGACCAAGCTTGGGGGAGCATGTTGGAGGTGCCAGCGGGGTCTCGCTTCAACCTCACTGGATTGGGCTACTTCTCCTGCCATTCCCACACGGTCATGCAGGATTATTCTTACTTCTTCTTCCTCAGGTGAGTAAGTCCCCTTTGCTCCTCTTTAGAAAGACAGCCCAACAACAACAACAAGAACAGGGCACCTTCTTCCATATGAGGTGGACATGCTCGGAAGCTGAAAATTACTGGGGTAGAATTCATAAGTGGATAGAGGAAAGAACGAAAGCAAAATTGAATTCAGACCGGAATTGTTTCTATTAGGAATATTAAGGGGAGATCACACTAAGACAGAGGTATATATTATTTTACATATAATAACAGCAGCCAGGATTGTGTATGCACAGTGCTGGAAACAGGAAAATATACCATCTGAGGGGACAGAGGTAAGAAAGATTCTGGGCTGCGCGGGGATGGACAGGCTGACTCAAGAGTTAAAAGATAGAAATGAAATAGTACTCCATCCCTGGAGGTTTTTAAGAAGAGACTGGACAGCCATTTGTCTGACATGGTATAGGCTCTCCTGCTTGAGCAGGGGGCTGGACTAGAAGACTTCCAAGGTCCCT